CTATCACCACAGTCATGGTAACAGACACATCCAGCACCTCCCAGAATTTCTCTGTGTTTTTCCCCTCCTTTTTTTTTTTTTTTTTCGTGTGAACACTTAACATGATGTGTATCCTTTTAACAAATTTTGAAGTGCACAATACAGTATTGTGTACAACTACAGGCACTATGTTGTATGGAAGATCTCTAGCACTTACTCATCTAGTATAACTGAAACTTCTTCCCCAGTAAACTCCCTGTTTCCCCCTCCCTCAACCCCTGACAATCCCATTCTGTTCTCTGCTTCTGTGAGTTTGACTATTTTATTTTATTTTATTTTTTTAAAGATTTTATTTATTTATTTGACAGACGGAGACCACAAGTTGGCAGAGAGGCAGGCAGAGAGAGAGAGAGAGAGAGAGAGAGGAGGAGAGCCTGCTTCTCCAAGCAGAGAGCCTGATGCGGGGCTCGATCCCAGGACCCCAGGACCATGACCTGAGCTGAAGGCAGAGGCTTAACCCACTGAGCCACCCAGGTGCCCCGAGTTTGACTATTTTAGATGCTTCATATAAGTGAAATCACGCAGTATTTATTCTTCTGTGACTACTTTATTTCACTTAGTGTTATGTCCTTCAGGTTCATCTATGTTGTTACAAATGGCAGAATTTCCTTCTTTTTTAAGGCTGAATAATATTTCTTTGTATGTGAATACCACATGTTCTTTATCCAGTTATCTGTTGGTGGACGTGTGGGTTTTTTTATATCTTGACTATTGTGAGTGCTACCATGAACATGGTAGTACAGTAAGAATGATTTCAATTCTTTAGATATATTACCCAGAAGTTGGATTGCTAGATCATATGGTAGTTCTATTTTTAATTTTTTGAGGAATCTTTGAAATGCTTTCCATAGCAGCTGAACAATTTTACATTTCTACTAACAGTGTATAGGGCTCCAATTTCTCCACAAGATCACCAATACTTGTTATCTCTCTTTTCTAAAAATAGTAGCCATCCTGGGGTGCCTGGGTGGCTCAGTTGGTTAAGTGTCTGACTCTTGATTTCAGCTCAGGTTGTGATCTCAGGTTGCAGATCTGCTTGAGATTCTCTCTTCCCCTCCCTCTGTCCCTCACCCCCATGTGCGTCGCATGTGTGCAGTCTCTCTCTCTCAAAGAAATAAAACTAAAAAAATTTAGTAGCCATTCTAACAGGTGTGAGGTGATATCTTATTGTAGTTTTGATTTGCACTTTCCTAACAATTAATGATGCTGAGAATCTTTTCATATACCTATTGGACACTTTTATGTCCTCTTTGGAGAAATGTCTGTTCAAGTCTTTTGCCCATTTAAAAAAATCTGGTTATTTGATTTTTTAAATATAAGTTTTAGGAGCTTCATATAGACTTTGGAAATTAACCCCTTAGCAGATATATGGTTTGCAAATATTTTCTCCCATTCCATAGGTTGCCTTTTAATTCTGTTGATTGTTACTTCTGCCGTGCAGAAGCTTTTCAGGTTGATACAATCCCATTTACTTATTTTTGTTTTTGTTACCTGTGTTTTGGGTGTCATATCCAAGAAGTTATTGCTACGACCAGTGTGAAAAAGACTTCCCTGTTTTCTTCTAGGAATTTAATATTTTCAAGCATTATGTTTAATTCTTTAACCTATTTTGAGTTAATTTTTGTGTATGCTGTAAGGTAGGGGTCAAATCTCATTTTTTTGCCTATAGATATTCAGTTTTCCCAATATCATCTGTCAAAGAGACCATCCTTTTCCCACTGGGTGTTCTTGGTATCCTTGTCAAAGATCAGTTGAGTATATATGTGTGGGTTTATTTCTCTATTCTCTTCCATGGGTCTACATGCCTATTTTTGTACCAGTACCATAGTGTAGGTTTATAATACACTTTGAAATCAGGAAACGTGATGCCTTCAGCTTTGATCTTTCTCAAGACCACTTTGGCTATTCTGGGTCTTTGTAGTTTCATATGAATTTTAAGTTTTTTTTTCATATTTCTATAAAAATTGCCGTTGGGATTTTTGTGGAAATAGCGTTGAGTCTCTGTGGTAGTATAGACATTTAAAAAATTATTTATTTATTTGACAGAGAGAGAGAGAGCATAAGCAGGTGGAGTAGCAGGCAGAGGGAGAAGGAGAAGCACTCTCTGTGCTGAGTAAGGAGGCTGACACAGGGCTCAATCCCAGGACCCTGGGATCATGACCTGAGCTGAAGGCAGCTGCTTAACCAACTGAGCCACCCAGGCGCCCCTAGTATGGACATTTTAACAACAGTAAGTCTTCCAATCCATGAATATGGGTTGTCTTTACATTTATTTGTATTTCTTTTAATTTCTTTCACCAATGTTTTGCAGTTTTTAGTGTACAGTTCTTTCACCACTTTGGTTAAGTTTATTCCTAAGCATTTTATTCCTTTTTTAAAAGATTTTATTTATTCATTTGACAGAGAGAGATCACAAGTAGGCAGAGCAGCAGGCAGAGAGAGGAGGAAGTAGGCTCCCCACTGAGCAGAGAGCCTGATGTGGGGCTTGATCCCAGGACCCTGAGATCATGACCTGAGCTGAAGGCATCCCAGCATTGGGCTACCCAGGAGCCCCAGCATTTTATTCTTATTGATGTTATTGCAATGGGATTGTCTTCTTAATTTCTACACTTATTGTTAGTGTAGAAAAGCACAATTGATTTTTGTATGTTGATTCTGTATCTTGTAACTGCTGATTTCTTTTAGTTCTAACATTTTTTTTTCCTCTGTGGAGTGTTTAGAGTTTTCTACAAATTGGATCATGTCATCTGGAAACAGAATTTTACTTTTTCCTTTCCCATTTTATTTCTTCTATTTATTTTTCTCATCTAATTGCTCTGGCTAGGATTTTCAGTACTATATGGAATTGAAGTGGCAAGAGTGAACATCCTTGTCTTTTCTTCTGATCTTTAAGGAAAGGCTTTAAAATTTTCACCATTGTGCATGATATTGACTATGGTCTTGTCATTATAATACCCTTTATTATGTTGAGGTACTTTCTTTTTACACTTAGTTTGTTAAGCATTTTTATCATGAAAGGGTGGTAAATTTTGTCAAATGCTTTTCCTGCCTCCTGTGATTTCTTTTTTTTAAATTATTTAATTGTTTTTTAAAATGGTAATTCCAGTATAGTTAACATATAGTGATATATTGGTTTCAAGTGTACGATATTGTGATTCAACAATTCTATATGTTACTCAGTGCTTATCACAATGAGTGTATTCTTAATCCCCTTCATTGATTGCAGCCATTTTAAAAATCTTTAATTATGTTAATGTGGCATATCACTCTTATTGATTTGTATATGTTGAATCATCCTTACATCTCAGGGAAAAAATCCCACTTGATCACAATGTATGACCCTTTAATTGTGCTGTTGTATGGTTTTCTTTCCTTTTTTTTAAATTTTTTTTAAAAGATTTTATTTATTTATTTGACAGAGAGAGATCACAAGTAGATGGAGAGGCAGGTAGAGAGAGAGAGAGAGAGGGAAGCAGGCTCCCTGCTGAGCAGAGAGCCCGATGCGGGGCTCGATCCCAGGACCCTGAGATCATGACCTGAGCCGAAGGCAGCAGCTTAACCCACTGAGCCACCCAGGCGCCCTATGGTTTTCTTTTTAAAAAGATCTCGAGCAATTAGAGCAAAATATTAGAATTTGATAAAGCTCAGTAGTGGGTACCAAGGAGTTCATGATGCTGTCCTTAACATTTGTCAGTGAGTTTGATATTTTTCATAATATTCTTTTATATATAAAAACAATTGACTAGTCACTTCATTATTGTGATCTGTTTAAATAATTTGTAACTAGACTATCTAGACATTGTTAAGCCACCAAACTTGTTATTTAAAATGGTCTGGAATAGAAAAGGGAAAATACATATAACTTATTTTTTTTTAGTTGGACTTCTGGTTCATTGTCCATAGGATAATGTAGAATCAGTCTTAATATGTCAAAAACACCAGAAGCTTTACTCCTAATGGTGAAGCAACTGGGACTCAGTTCCAATCAGAGTAAAGAAGGGGACTCGTGAGTGTCTGGCTGATGTCAGTGAGAATTTCACCAGCAACAATTTTATGATGACATCCATGTATCGTGTACTTAAGGAAACAGGCTTCACTGCTCTCCCACAGAGAGAGGAACTATTCATTTTTATATGCTGTGTCTTCTTCTAACCACTTATTTGTTCCTGTATTTTCCAGATTGTTGAAATTAAAAGGATGCTATACAATGATCACACAAATATCTACTGATATGTGAATCTTTAAGCAGTTTTAAATATATGTCTTGATCACCATAAATAACACTTGGTAGAAACTAACTCAAACTTAACTGAATTAATTTTAATAGACTGAGCCTCTGAACCCTTTGGGGACAACTCAACATTCTCAACAATGCAGGCGTCGTTTTAGCAACGTCAGGAATTATTTAAGAGGTCTAGGTGATGAAGTGAGAAACCTGATTCCCCTTCTGCTCTGGGCCCCTCTGTGTGGTGTGGTACCATGTAGAGTGGCTGATAACAATTCCACCCTGGAGTGACTCAACCACGTGGGCTACTGAGCTGCACCACCCCAGGAATTACCATTCACAAATAACATGTGATGACCTCCATGGGGACAAAATTCCACAGTGCATTCTATGAGCGTGGTGCCCCTGAAGTTGTTCAGTGTGAAGACCCTCCTAACACGCCTCAAGAAAGGGACATTCTAGGGAGGAAAGTCTTGAAGCAAAAGAACCAAGCAAAGAATGGACTTACCTGACAATGTGTATGAAGAGGTGGCACTTTCAGGCTCTGTGGTTGGAGTGGGGCCTGGTGAATCATCACCACCTAATTGCCAGAAGAAAAAACACATGCTAAGGTCTATGGTGCCATTTATAACATAAATGTCATTAAAATAATCATGGAGAAATATGTGAGGGGAGAGACAAAGAAGTGATGTCATGGTAACAACAAAACAAAACAAAACAAAAAACAGCTCTTTACCTGTGCAGACAACACCAGCGTCCTCCAGGTGCCCGCAGTTGAGCCCGGCCTCACCCCTGTGCATGCACTGCCCCAGGTGGCTCTCAGCGCCTGCACACTGCACGTTGTCCAGCAGGATCTTCCCGGAGCCTGCCCCAAAATGGGCCCCTGTGGGGGCCGCCATGGCCCGGCCACACTGCAGCTGGCGGCATACCACTGTGGCCTCGGCCAGGTCCCAGAGGTCATCACACACGGTTCCCCACGTGCCCTGGATGAGAACCTCCACCCGGCCTGAGCACCTGCCTGTGCTGTTCACCAGCCTCACAGCCATCCAGGCCCCTGGGGAGGCACAAGGAGGCGGAACAGTGGTGTACTGGCTTTCCCATCTGGAAGGTTCCCTTTATCCTTTGTGGTCATATCCCCGCTTTTAAATATGCAAGATCACACAGTTCTCACGTATCCAGAGAGTCACAGCCAGAACAGTCTTCAATTTCACATCCTTACATGAGTCTTTACTAAATCCTCCTATCAAAATATGAAACTCTATCTTTAAAAAAAAAAAAGATTATTTATTTATTTATTTATTTGAGAGAGAGAATGAAAAAGAGAGAGAGAGCATGAGAGGACAGAAGTCAGCGGGAGAAGCAGACTCCCTGCAGAGCAGGGACTCGATTCTGGGACTCCAGGATCATGACCTGAACCCAAGGCAGTCACTTAACAACTGAGCCACCCAGGTGCCCCTTCAAAATACAAACTCTCTTTAAGAAATTTTCAGAATTCCTAAGGTCTCCTGATCATTTTAGCTATATGTTATTCCTCTGCCATTAATAAGGGTAGAAAATATGAGATGTTAATGTATTGACAAAATAGGAAACTAGACTATCCTTATGTAGGTCATTGCTAGGTAGTCCCCCTTTTTGGTCAGACTATATTAGTCTTAGAGCAAATTGGTGCCTTTGTCTCATAATCTTTCTTTATGGGTTTACTATGTACAGGAAACTAAGACAGGAACTAACATTTGTTGTTGGTCTGTGAAGTGCCAGAGTCTTAGAAAGCCACTAACTTAAACATTTCTTTCTTAATCTTTTCAACCCCATGTGGTGGGCGTGGTTTTCCGTTTTACAGATGAGGAAGTTATGGCAACAGAAAAGGTGAAAAATGATGAAGAAAATTGCTCTAAATGTTATGACTTATAAGTGGGCCATCTCCCACTTTAACTCTGACTGTGGTTTCTCTCCAGCTTGGAGAAATGCCTCTCTCTATGATTTCCATCATCCTTAAATTCTCAGGAACTACTTCCCATACCTGCGGGTGGAGGTGTGAAGTCTTCAGGGGCTATGATCAGTGAGGTCTCTGAGACGCTTTCAACTAGGAGGAAGCACAAAGCTAGGTCACTATCAGTCAGTCAAGAAGGAAGAAAAAAGGCAGCACACTGCTGGAAGGATCCATTATAAGAGCCTTCTGGAACTTTGTGTTTTCTTTTGGTTCCTCTAAGTAAGTCACCATCATCACCATCAAATAAGATTGTTTAGCTTTTTGGACATGCATTAGATATTCATGGTAAACTTATCTTTGACTCCTTGGCCCAGTAGAAATAAATTCTTAAGAAATAAGATAAACTTAAGAACATCATAGTTAAGGAGACCTAAAGGCAATAAAATCAGCTTTGCAAATTAATAATGCTGCGAGCTAGCATTCGTAACAAATACTTATTCAATACAAAGAAACTGAGACACAGTACCTGTGTTCAAAAGGCTTATATCTCACTCAGAAGCTAGGATATGTATACAAGGAACATAATATAAGGTGGATTGTGAGGGATGTTAACAGAAAAGACAGAAATATACAGGAAATGTCCTCTTGTGGAGACCAGGAGAAGCTGCCTTGAGAAATGTGTGGAAGGGGAGGGTGTAGACCTCTTTCAGGCAGCACAGGTATTAGAGGATAGTGACCTTGAATTCAGACATTCAGGGACATGAAGGAATAGGTACTTCTTTAAAGATTTTATTTTTAAGTAATCTCTACATCCAACATGGGGCTCAAACTCAAGATCAAGAGCCACCTGCCCCCATGGACTGAGTCAGCCAGGTGCCCCGCATTTTAATTTGATTAGAATAATGTGGTAGCATATGTATGCATCCCAGATACTAGGATTTTTACATTTTCCTTACTGATATTATGCAGAAAACTTCCTAAGAGATGATACACAAGGAAAAGGAATTTGGGTCACGTATATTTCATGACCATGACCTGATACGACTTCCAGCGGGCATTTATAGGATTACCTGTATATTAAAGGCTCCTAGACATCCTGTAGTAAAGAAACCTGTTTAATTTTTTTAATGCAATGTTTCCCAAATTCATCAGACCATTGAGCCTATGTGGAGTGTGTGTGTGTGTGTGTGTACAATTCATCTCAACATGTTGATCTGGTAGTTCTGGGAGCATATTCTCAGAAACATCTTTATTTAACTGCCTAAAGGATTCTGGTAGGGACTGGAGACTACCAGCAATGTTTGCTATTAAACTTCTTTTTTTTTTGAATCTGTAATTTTATTTTTATTTTTTAATTTTTATTTTCTTCTTCTTTCTAGAAACACAAAATAACTTGGAAACTTGAATAAATTATAAGATAAAAGATTTCAGTATAAACTCAAAAAAGCTGCAGTTTTAAATACCTATTGGTGTTTGCTCTTCCTCGGAGGTAATGGGTGTCATTTTCATTTCAGCAGCTACAATAAAAAGAAAACACGATTAGTGATGAACAGCCCCTCATAGATGCACAACTGAAGCTGAGGAGAGGGGAAGTTATCCGGCACGCCAAACCAATTTCTAGTATCTCTTGGTGAAATATAAAAGCCAGTTCTAAAGGGCTTAGTGAATTTCCAGTCCAAAGACAGGAGTGTTCTACTCTGGAACCTGATTCTTACTCTGCCACATATTACAAATGAACATCTGTTTTCTGATCTGTAAAACTGGGAATCAAATCTGATAATGGATAGGAAAGAATTTTATAAACTAAGAAATGAATAAATTCAAAAATTACCATAGTATCTCCGATGATAAATACTTCCTTGTTTTGGGAAAAGAACTAATTCCATAACCACAAAGATAAATATCAAAATAGAAAGTTTTAAAAATATGTCTTACAATAACATCCAAAACCATGAAATTATTATGGATAAGTCTGATAACTATGAGCAAAATTTGTACATGGAAAAATAAATATTGAGATAAATGAAAGACCTCAATAAATGAAGAGATATGCCTTATTGATGATCAGAAACTCAGTATTATTAAGATGTCAATTTTCTCTGAATTTACATATAGACTCAGTACAATCCAAACTAAAAATTCCAGCAGATATTTTTTGTAGAGATCGACAAGTTGACTCTAAAATTTTATATGAAAGGCCAAAAACCTAGGTTAACCAAAACAGTTTTTAAAAAAGAAGAAAAAAGAGTAAAGTTGAAGCATCCACACTACCTGATTTCTTGACTTATTCTAAAGCTGCAGGAATTGAGACAGTGTGATATGTGCATGAGAATTGTCACATAAGTCAGAGAACAAGAGGGAGTTTAGAAATAGGCCCAAGTATTAATTATTATTTTATTTTTGACAAAAGTGCCAAATTATTTTAGTGGAATTAGGAGAGTCTTTTAGACAAATGGTATTGAAATGATTAAAGATGTATATGGAAAAAGTCCTTGGAACCAAATTAAAAAATCAACAAAAATGGATCATAGAGCTAAATGTAAAATCGACAACTATGAAACCTCTAGAAGAAAACAGGAAAAAACTCTTTCAGACTTCTGGTCAAGGGAAGATTTCTTAGATGAGACACAAAAGCCTATTTGGCTAAAGAAAAAAAAAATCTTGGGAAATCAGAATTCATTAAAACTTAAAAAATTCTGTCTTTCAAAAAACACTTTTAAGAAAATGAAAAGGCAGGTTATAGACTGAGAGAAAATATTTGCCAAACACACATCTGAGAAAATACTTGTATCTAGTATTTTAAAATGTATAATATTTGATATATAAAGACCTATCTTACAACATGATAAGATATCTCAATTAAAAAAATATAAAAGATTTAGGGGCACCTGAGTGGTTCAGTGGGTTAAAGCCTCTGCCTTCGGCTCAGGTCATGATCTCAGGGTCCTGGGATCAAGAATCACATTGGACTTTCTGCTCAGCAGGGAGCCTGCTTCCCCCTCTCTCTGCCTGCCTTTCTGCCTATTTGTGATCTTTGTCTGTCCAATAAATAAATGAATAAATAAATAAATAAATAAAATCTTTAAAAAATTAAAAGATTTAAACACACACTTCACTAAAGAAGAGATGCAAATAAACACATTAAAATGTACTTAGTATCACTAGTCATAGGGGGAAGCAAATTAAAACCCCAAAGAGATATCATTCTCATTATAGGAGAGAGACTATAATGACCAAAAAAAAAGTAGAAAATCCAAGTGTTGACAAGTATGTGGAGCAATTGTAAATCTCATATATTTTAGGTGGGAATGCAAAATGGTATAGCCACCTTGGAAAACGGTTTGTAATTTGTATATGAAGGTTTTAATCATCTTAATTAATAATAGTCAAGAATTAAAAATAAATTCAATATCCATCAAGTGGCAAATAGATACACATATTTGGCTCATCTGTAAAGTAGAATACTACTCAGCAATAAAAAAGAATGGGTGTCTAATACATGGAGCTACATGGGTGATTCTCTAAAGTATTATGATAAGAAGCCCAATACAAAATGTTACATATTATCTGACTAACTTAGATAATATTCTGGAAAAGTCAAACCTATGGGGGCAGAAATAATATTGGTGGTTGCCAGGATTTAGGTGTTAAGTGAGGGAATTGACGACAAAGAGGCATGAGGAAACTCCTTATGGTAATAGAAATATTTTATATCTTGGTGGTGATGGTTACACAACTTTAACCTTTTATCAAAATTCTTTAAACTACATAGTGATTTTTGCTGTAAATAAATTAGATCTCAATAAGTCTGACTTTTATTTTTTTAAAAGATTTTGTTTATCTATTAGAGAGACAGAGAATGAGCAAGGAGAGGGAGAGGGAGAAGCAGACTCCCCACTGAGCAGGGAGCCCTACATGGGACTAGATCCCAGGACCCTGATATAATGACTTGAGCTGAAGGCAGTCACTTAACTGGCTGAGCCACTCAGGTGTCCTCTGACTTTTACTTTTGGAAGGTAACTTTGACTGCATGTAAACAATGGACTATAATGTTGGGAGCAAGCGGGCAGGGAAGCCAGTTAAAAGAAGTCTGTGTTCATCCAGGGAGAAAGAGGTGATGAGGATTTGGATTAGGACAGTAGCAATCAGATGAAGAAGAGGCCATGAATGCAACCTCAGACTCCTAGCTATAAATAGAAAATGAATCATCCACAGAGACCTGATTTCTTACATATTCATGGATATCCAGATATTTGCAAATATCTTAATAGTTTACTCATACTCTTGTTTGGATGCTTAGCTTTGTATACACATAACAGTTAAACAGCACGAAAACTAAAAACAACCAGAGATGTGATGCATAAATACAAAGTTTGACTTACCAGATGGAATAGCTTTTGCTGATGGTAGTGGTGGTATTGGTAATGAGGATGTGGATAATGGCACTGAGGATGGTGACATCGATAATGGTGATGACGACAATGATGATGGCAATGACGATGATGATGTCAATGGTGATGATGACGGCGCCAGCAATAATGGTGATGAGGACAGCAATGATGGCAATGGCAAAGGTGATGATGGTGACGATGACAACGGTGATGACGATGGTGGTGACAACGGTGATGACGATGGTGGTGATGATGATGACGATGGTGCTGATGGTGGTGATGACAATGGTGGTGATGACGATGGTGGTGATGATGACGACGATGGTGCTGATGGTGGTGATGACGATGGTGGTGATGACGATGGTGCTGATGATGACGACGATGGTGCTGATGGTGGTGATGATGATGGTGGTGATGACGATGGTGGTGATGATGACGACGATGGTGCTGATGGTGGTGATGACGATAATGGTGATGACGATGGTGATGATGACGACGACGATAGTGAGAATGATGATAATGATGATGAAGATGATGGTAATTCTGCTTCTATTTATTAGGATAAGAAAGATTCCTTCTTTCTTGCAAGACAGTGGTTCTCCAACTGTGGTCCCCAGACCAGCCGCATAGGCATCCTGGACTTGTTGGAATTGTAAATTCTTACACCCCACCCTAGACCCACTGCATCAGGAACTCTGGAGTTGTGGCCCAGCAACCTGCGTTTTCATAGGCCCTCTGGGTAATTATGATACACAATAAAATAAAACAAAACACCAACTGCTTTAGGATGAAAATAGAAAAAAGATTGCAGTGGCTCAGGGTTCTTCCTAATGGCAGAGGAACTCTAAAGGCACATAAGGATAAATTTTTAACTGATGTTGTTTCTTTCTTCACCTGTTGGAAGGGACAAGGTCCCACAGACTCCAGAAGGATTATTTTCTGATCTAATTACTCTGGAAACCTGGTAATTTCACTCTAACTTAGAAAGATTCCTACACCTGAGTGATGGGGTGGTTAGCTGGTTCCTTTGCTGATACTGCTCTTCACTATTGAGCTCTCCACCAAGTCGCACCTAAATTGTGCCTGAGATCTACCATCAAACATTTGCCCAGAAGAAGGGTCATTCAGGTCAGGATTAGCAGGTTTCCTCAGAGAGAACCTGAGCACATCAGAGCAAGGTCAGCACCCTGCCTGTATTCTGAGTTCCCCGTGTTATGGTGGGTTGAACTATAGACTGGGAAAACCTTTTAGGTTTCAAGCTATATGGACCAATCAAAGCAACTTCTGTAAACTGCTCACAGCTTGATTTAATGGGGTCATTTTCATTCCACTTCCATCGCACATATAAATATTAGCTTTCCAGAACTAGAACTAAGAATGGGATATAAAAATGGCTGGAGTCAGCCTTACCTGGAGGGGAGGAGGTTGTCATCAGAGAACCTGTTAGTGTAAAGAGAGGAAGCCATTACCATTGCTGGATGGGACCACAGGCTCATTGCTCAGTTTCTGTAATAACCCATTCTTTCAGAGTCATTCAGACCACACAAAGACCTCTCACCTGAGCAGATGGCTCCAACATCCTCCTCCTGACTGCACTTGTGAGTGAACCAGGCATTGTGGACGCACAAGGCCAGGTGGCTCTCCTCACCATTGCAGTGCACATTGTCCAGGAGAATCTTTCCAGAGCGTGGACCAAAATGGGCGCCCAAGGGGGCAGACACCGCCTGGCCACACCCAAGCTGCCTGCACACGACATGCGCCTCCTTCAGATCCCAGCCATCACTGCACATGGACCCCCAGGTGCCCTGGTAGAAAACTTCCACCCGTCCAGAGCATCTCCCGGGGCCATTTACCAGCCTCAGTGTGGGCCAGTCTCCTGTGGAAATGAAAACTAAGGTAAGTTTTTGAAACTTCCCTCTTGAACTCACCCCATCTGCCTTGCTTACAGATTAAGGAGAACCCTGTGATTACTCCACAAATATAAGAGCATTCTAGGAGAATATTGCTTAGTGGTTACTCCACTGTGCAATGTGCTTTTTACCAGTCACTGAACAAAGCAGATTAGATAAAATAAATAATATTTTAAAAAAAATAATAAAAATACATATTCCATTCCATTCCACATATGTGGAATATGTATTTATCAAGCACTGGTGTTTTAGGACTTGACATCAACAGGGAAGACATGAAAAATTAAGAAAATGCATTTCCATCAGTGGGGAAATTTAAACGGCTTATTCAAAAAATGTAACACTACAGCAGTTAAAAGCAGGGAAATATACATAAATATCTCAACATGGGTGAATATCAAAAACATAACTCTGAGTAAAGAATAAGAGGTACTGAATGACCTCTTAAGGTAATTTGTGTGAAAGAAAAACACAAAATAACATATGGAGAGATCATATAATTCCCATTTGTAAAGATACTAAAGCTGGAGGTACATCCAAAATTCAAGAGGGTGTTTGTTTGTCTCTGAGGAAGGAGGAGGAAACAGAGACTGGGCCCGAGGAATTGGGGGAACTTCATGTTTATCTATGATGCTTTATTTTTTGGTAAGGCTGGAAAACCAATATAACAAAATGTAAGCATTAGTCATCTGTAGGTAAAGGGGACATGGCTACGTGATTTCTTAATCTCTGTATTTTCTGAACTTTAGAATGCTTTGCTGGAACAGCAGGAGAGTGAGAATGATCAGGTGCCAAAGTGGTAAGAGGCCCAGACCCGTCCTGGAGGTGGTGATCTTTCCTCCTCTCACTGTCGTCTTCCCTGGGCGCTTTCCAGGCCTCTGGCTGCAGCCCCCTGGCTCCTTCCCCCATTGGGGTGAACCCCTGGGTCTTCAAGGGCAATGGCAATTCCTACAATGGTGCATCCTATGGGGAAGGCTGCTGACCTGATGGGTTGGGCCAAGGAACATTGGCTCTGCGGCTGGAAGACAGTGAGTCAACCACAGGTAGAACTGGAACAACATGGAAACAGTGATTAGAACTGAAACTCTTAACTCCAGAAAGTAAACTGAGGGTTGCCGGAGGGGTGGGGGGATAGGGGGATGGGGGAACGGGTAACTGGGTGATGAGCACTAAGGAGGGCATTTGATGTAATGAGCACTGGGTGTTATATGCAAGTGATGAATCACTAAACTCTACTTCTGAGACTAATAATAAACTATATGTTAACTAATTGAATTTAAATAAAAAATTATTGAATACCTGCTTAAACAAAGAAAAAAAGAACTGAAATTTCTCTTCCTGAGACAGGCACAGGACAACATATCAGAAAAGGACTCAACTAATGACTGGTGAAGAGCCAACAGCTATGCCACACCTTTCCAAAACATCTGGACTGGCCACACACTCAGGAAGAATGACTTTTTAATGAGATTGCAGTCAAGTCCAGGCTGCTGATAGGAAGCTCCTAAGTGTGATCCTGCTGCCCCCAAATGTCTCGCTTTTCTGGCCCTACATCAACTCCAGGTTCAGCATATGCTCTGCAGCAGTAAAATAAGTCATTGCTGAATTGCACAAAAGTTTTAAAAGGATTCTATTTATCAGGATGCTGATTATCTTGGATGACTGCTCAGAGGACATCACATAACCTAATGGTATGACCCGTCTGTTTGTACCTCCCGTCTGGAGGACCAGGTGATGGAATCATTGTTCTACCTGATAGGATAGTTGGTAACTTTGCATTATCTGCCAAGCTTGAGAAAAAATATTTGGTAGAAGGATTTGTCTTCTTGGAGGGATTTGCCTCCACGCTGGCCTCTGCACTGACTAGCAGGATGGTTCTTAGCCAAGACTGAAGTTACCCCAAGAGGGGTTAAGTTGCAGGTCCACAGGTGCACCACTTGTACATTCATTTATTGATTCCGTCAAATTTGTTGGGTGCTTACTGTGTGCCAACCACTGTGATAGCTGCTAGAGGTACAGTGAAGAGCTAGGCAGACAAAGCCCTTGTTCTCATGGAGCATAAAATCTGGTATGGAACCTAACACTAGCATCACATTACCCCTGGATCTCTTGGTCGTGGATTTTCCCTGGCCCTAAGTTTTAGTTCATCCTTCCTATGGGTTTGAATGCTGCGAGTGGCAAATACAAGGTATTATACCCATTTTGGGGGGTTGTAGCTCATAGCTTGTTGGCCTTCCCGATGATGTGGTTGGGCGATTAACATTTTCTGGGACGGTGGATGTTGAGAGTGCTGTTGGGGAAAAAATACAAGGAAAATGAGCCCTGATGTTTGACACCAAATAGAAGGTAAGGACTTTTTTCATCTGCTTCGTGTTTCCAGGAGAAGAATTCAATTAGCTCTATATGAGCTCATTCAACATAAAGAATTTTAAAGGGAACAGCAACCTTGAAAATATCATGCCAGACACAAAAGACCACACACTGCTTGACTCCATTCATGTGAAATATCAAGATCAGGTAAATCTGTAGAGATAAAAGTAAGTTGGGGATTGCCAGGTGCTGGGAGAGGAATTTGGACAAAATGGCCATGACTATAAGCAAAGAGGAGGAATGCTATACCCTAATTACCCAACTTAGCAGTCATGGAGCAGAAACCTTCTTCCTTGAACAGTGCTGTTCCATAGAACACACCTGAAGGCACAGAAGCCTATACTCACATCACACGGCTACACGCATCACACGGCTGCACCACACTGTCCTCCGAGTACTTTACACAAATTCACTGATACACTCCTTACAACTCCTTGAAATGCATAGTTATTACCCCCATTTCCAATAAGAAAACTGAGTGCAAAGAGGCAAAGAAAAACTGGTGAGGGCCACACAGCTGGGAGGTAGGAGAGAGTGGCCCCAAACCCCGTGGTCCAGCACTTGGCTCTGACCATTGTACTGGCAAGTGAATGGAATATGTCACTCAGATTTCAAAAGAATCCTTAGTCACTTAGACATAAGATATAAGAATTTAATGTGTTTGATCTCTCTTTTGTTAATATTTGGAAGTAGACATAGATATGCAACCTGGGATCAGTCAGATGGGATTCATTTATCCAAGCATTTACTTATTTCTTCATTTAACAAACACGGAATGCCCGTCAGTGAGTGGGCATTGTTCTTGAGACTGTGTGGGGGAGGGGGGTGCTGGAGTGGGGGTGGAGACAATGTCATGGATGAAAAACATACGAATTTTCTGCTCCAAGAAGCTGACCATGTCATTGGAGCAAGAAGTGGATACAAAGAACAACCAGGAAAGGAATAAAAGCTCAAAGTGAGGACGGACACAGAGCTGGGAATCTAGAAGGGGGAGTACTGCTGCCAGCTTGGGATGGGAAAGATTGGACAAGATGTGCAGGGGGGAAGACACTGGAGTCCTAGTGGACCACTGATAGGCAGTGACCATGTGGGTGTTGGAGAAATGGAAGAATAAGAAAATAAATGCAGGCCTGGCTCAGATATTAGCCCATCTTTTGACTCTCAGCTTCCGTTGCCACAAAGGGATCCTCGTGGTTTCTAAATAGGTAACATGCCCGGTCAGTCTTCTTTAGAAACTATTAAAAATGCTTACACTGAAGCATTTTTAAAAAGATTTTGCTTATTTATTTATTTGAGAGAGACACAGAGAGAGGGCATGAGCAGGGGAGGGGGGGTGTGGATAAACAGAGAGGGAGAAGCAGACTCCCGCTGAGCAGGGAGCCTGATGCCTGGCTCAATCCCAGGACCCTGGGTCATGTCCTGAGCCAAGGGCAGACACTTAACCAACCGAGCCACCCAGGCTCCCAGTAGTTTGAGGATTTTAAAGTGATTTAGAGAGTTAAGATAGTTCAGAGATTAAGCTCTAGGATTCTGAAGTCAGGTTGTCTATATTAATCATTCCATCGACCTTGGAGACAGTATCTGACCTAGCTGAGCATGAGTTTCTCCCATTCAGAAAAAGGGGTGATAGAAATTCCATCTCCAGGTATTGGGAAGGTCAGGTAAGAAAATTCATGTCAGGCTGTCTGATGTGGCATAAGACGGCATGCCACTAGAAATAAAATGTGAGCCACATATGTAATTTAAAATTTTCTGATAGCCTCATTTTAAAAAGTTAAAAAAAAACAGGTGAAATTAATTTCAGCAATATATTTTTTTTTTTTTGAGGGAAAGAGTGCACATGCCTTTGTGCATGTGTGTGTAAGCAGGGGGGGGGAGGGGGAGAGGGAGAGAGAATCTCAAGCAGGCTCCACAGTCAGTGCAGAGCCTGATTCAGGGCTTGATCTCATGACCTTGAGATCATGACCTGGGCCGAAATCAAGAGATGGATGCTTAGCTGACTGAGCCACCCATGCGCCCCAACAATATGTCTTATTTAACCCAATATATCTAAAATATTATCATTTCAACATGTAGTTAATATAAAGATGGTAATCAGAGGAATTCTACATTCTTTTTATCATATCATGTCTTTGAAAGACCCAGCGTGTATTGGACACGCACAGCAGGTGTCCGTTCTGCGGAGCCACATTTCAAGGAGTCAGTAGTCACATGGACAGTGCAGGTATGAGGGCTCCCTCGGGGTTGTTGACATCATTGGCAGAATATGGATTATTTGATGGTATAATTGAAATGTCAATAGTTACAGATGAGTCAGCATCGAGGAGCCCAATGATAAAATAATCGTGACCACTACTCCCCACGACTAGGAAGGGTGTCCCTTTCACTGATACGGAAAATAATGAAGTCTTTCCAGGTTGGACACTTTCCAGACATAAGGCCAGACGCTGTCTTTCTTAAATTCAAAATGTAGAAGGTGAAGCTTTTAGTACTATCACCCTCTTACTCTTTCTCTCTCTCTCTCTCTCTCTCTCACACACACACACACACACACAAACACACACACACACACACACACACACAAACACTGCTACCT